GTGCTGGCCTAGTTGGCCTCCTGCACCACCCTGGGAACAAAAACGGACTGCAGGCAGCATTTTTGCCCTCTTCGGGCTCTGGAGGCTTTCTGGAGGCTGGAAGCGAGCCCATTTCTGGCCTTCTGGAACTTGCAGGAGGCCCATTTTTTTGCCCTCCCCAAGCCTCCACATTTACCTGTGATCCAAAATGGGCCGTGTAGGGAATCCTGGGAGGGGAGGGGCCAGCCAGGGGTGGGTTTTGCTAGTTTGCCGAATCGGCCATAAAATTAACAACCGGTTCGCCTGAATTGGTGAAAACTGGTAGCAGCCCATCCTTGACCACATGGGCCACTGGTGAGCCAAGAGATGTGAAGACGAGCCTCCCGTGGCCATCTGCCCACTCCAAGCCACCGACTCTTGGCTTTTCTGCAGCCCACACAACATGTCTGGATTGTGTGCCTCCCCCTGTGCCTCTGCTACCATCTGCTGCTTGGACAGGTAATCAACTCACCTATGCTGCACAGGCTGCGCAGCCCCAGAGTGTGCCGACCATGAGCTTGCAGCTACTACCAGACGTCAGCACCAGCGCAGTTGCCGCCTTTTGTGTGTGGTGGGCTGATCATCCTGAAATTGTGTTTCCCCCAAAATAAGCCCTAATGTTCATTTTGGAGCCCTCCTCAAATATAAGACCAGGCCTTATTTTTGGAGAATCATGGTAGTATAAATATCCTACACATTATTTTGCTATTCTCATGTTTCATTCCACAAAGAGAAAATTAGAAAGTCTTTAGACACTTTTCTGACATTATTTAGATAAATGCAGAATGAGATCACAACTAATTATGAGAACCTGATCTCTATTTTTTTTTTTAAAAAAGTAGGAAAATCTATAATATATACTAAAAGTAGGAAAGAGGCTTAAAGGTAATTTAAATAGGGTAAATAGTGTACAGAGCTAATCCTTTCTTAGTCTCCAAATAATTGGTTGGTGCAATTTCATTCATTTTCATTGGAAACTCTGATATACAGTAGCTCTGGCACTAGGAAATGATTACAGCAAAAATACCCCAGGATAAATTGAGAAAAAAAATTAAGTTTCCATATCAATAAAGTTTGAAAGAATGAAGAAAAAAACCATGAAATATGTCAGATTAATAATTATTTAATCCAGGATCTTTCTCCACTGATGCAATTTACTTATTTCATTAAGTAAGATTTTGTGTCATTTTGTTGAATTTATGTCTTCTGTTTGGGGATACAGTATTGCCTAATATCTATTTAACTCACAATAGCATTTGTAAAACAAGCAGCACAATTTAGTAAAAGGAATAGTTTTGAAGAAGCAATTAACACAGCCTAGTAAAAACTATTTAACTTCTAGTACAGTGTGTGCTACTCCAACTATGCCTATTTCGCTTAATTTTGTTGCTTTCTTCTTTTCAGAATGATTTCATCTTGAAAAGAAAGTATCATCGATTGTCTTGTTTTCTTGGTTAAAGCTATCTTAATATCAAGCTAGTGAAACTAATATACCCAATAGCTAAAAATAGCTCTATTGAATTTGACTGGAGATCAATGATCAATGGTCATTTCATTGCTAGCCAGATATCAGAACTGCTTTAATTGAACTTCCTTTGGAATAACTTTTAGGAAGAGGCCATCTGAGTGCCAGGAGAAAAATTAATCAATAGGAAAAGACTGTATTCAGGGAAAAATATTTCCCCCCCCTCCCAAATTTCATATAGAAGGCAGTGCCTTTGCACCCCCAATTTGGGCATATGTACTAGACAGATCAGTTGCATTTGAAGCAGCAGTCCTGAAAGTATCTAGGTGTCATGCCTGCTGATGACCAGCACGCTAAACTCAGATGCCTTCTGAGAAATAACATGGTGTTATAACATTCTAGCACTTCTTACATATCAGTGAAGGTAAGGGGGCATTTTGTGCCATTTGCAACTTCTGGGTAGTCTTCAACAGCAGCCCCATGCAAAATGCATTTTAATAATCCTTCCTAGAGGGGATAAGGATGTGAGTGACAGTTGCCATATTCCCTTCTTCATCTTAGTTCTGTCACATAAACTGTCACCCAATCAAAAAGTCTAATTGATTAACAGAATTGTCTGCAATTAATCAACTGTCTTTTTTTTAAAAAAAATAAACAAACAAATCAAGTTAATATTTCTGAAGGTCAGGCTTAGGTTGTCTAGATCAAGGCTACAACAGATCTGTTTGTAACATGATCAGTGCTGCTTTTTTTGAAATTCTGACGCTTCAATAATGGGCTGAGCCAATTATCCTTTTTCTTTTTGCACAGCCTCATTGCACCATCCTTACTTCCAATCTGAGCCCAACAAAGAAATTTCTCAACTTCAAAGGCAAAACAGAAAAAAACAAATTATGGTTATAATACTTGATGTGGAAGAAAATCTTCACTTAATTACTTTTTTTCAGATAATCAATTAAACACTACACTACTATTATAAAGCTACACATTTTCTAGAAATGGAAATATGTTGCCAATTATTTAACATCTTTAATACATTTTCTTAATGTGTATTTTTCCATTTTATATATAAATTTTATGTAGTGATATATGGCTTTTCAAGTTCTGGTAAAGTATCTTGTGTTTCATATTTTATTTGATCTACGTTCCATTTTGTTGATCTGCTACAGAACAAAAAAAAACCTGAAATGAAATTTATTATTGCATAATTTTATTTAGTAGGTATCACATAATTCAGGATGTTAGCTATTTTAGGGTAATATGTTGAAAATAATTTCATTTTTCTCATAGCAAAGGGATCTGAATTAGCAAGTCTTATTAAACTTGTTAATTCCAGAACTGCATGTTATGTTATTTAATTCTATAGAATTGAACTTAAGTTGTAATTGCATCTTGTCCTTCTTATTGAGGCTAAAAGGTGCATTTTAAATGCAATCAAAATAATATCAATCAAACTTAAATCTATAACGTCTTCATTACCAAAAAAAGTACTCTGATTCCAGGTTATAAATACGAACAATGGAATTTTCAGCTGCTTAAGATGCCATCATGGCTCAAACCTTTATTCTTGATCATTTTCTCTTAATGATGATATTAGAGAAGAAATGAAATAACAATAGTTTTGTACTTTTAGAAGCTGCACAGCTTTGGGGTTGTACACTACTTTTCTGAGTAGCCTTGAACTTAATCCAGGGTTACTCAAACACATGAGAATTATTGGCAGCCTGGAAACTACCCAGTTTTTTTTTTTCTTCTTCTTCTTTGTATTGTATCCATCATGATATCAGCTTACACTGAAACTTGATTATCCTAGCAGGATTAGACATGAAAGAAAAGAGGCTTCAACTGAAACCCCACTGTGAGGAAGACCACACCACTGTCTTTGACCTTTTCTTTCCAATGCACAAGTCAAGTCAAGTGTCTAAAGAAGATCTTAGGCTGTTTGCTCTGTTTTAACTTTGGCTCCTAGAACAGATGTCTAGTTACTAAAAAGAAGAAAAAAAACATGGAATTGTCTGATCTCTAGCATAGGCAAATTCAGCCAACAGTAGTAATGTACTTTAGGATAAAGAAAAAACCAAATACAGTCACCATAAAAAGTCAGTCTATGTAGATTTTTAAAAAAGAAAATACAGGCTGCTTTTGCAAACTCCTATTTGAAATAAAGTAAAATAAAGTCCTCCTTTGATTATGTTAGGGATGGGTTGGATGGTCTTTGAAAGGATATGCCCTCATTTGCATTAGCAGAAAGCACAGGCTGGGGGCCTAGTCGAGGTTGAACCTGTAGTGTATTTAAATAGAGACTTCTAGGGCGATGTTCCTATTGGTTAGCAGAAGCAACGATACGATTGGTTAGTAACGTTAGTATCTGATTGGCCGCCTATAGCGGCGGGAAGTTTAACTAAATGTCATTGGTTGTGAGCCGTGGAGCAGCCGCTATAAAAAGGGCTGCTGCGGTTCGACTGCAGTTGAAGTTACTGTTTATTATTAAAGAGCTGAAGTCAACTCCGGTCTGCGAGTCTCTTTACTGGCGACAGAACAGAACCCAAAGGCTGAATCTCACCCTGTGGATTTTTCTTTTAAATTCCCAAACCACCCTTCAAATAGAAAGCTCGTATCACACACACTTTACAGAGTTCTTCTTTTTTTCAAAGCAGTTTACAATGTGACATGGTAGTTTAACTTTGAAGGAATGAAACCCACAAATTCCACTTGATACATGGACATAGTGGCACAGTTAAAGTTACTGGATAGATGTTCAAAGGCAAGCCCATCTCCTTAGGTCATGGGAATGGGGTGTGGTTGGACAAGCAAGGCACTGAATAAAGAACCCTGTGAAGATTCTGGCATGTGTCAGCAACATGGAATGGATTGCTTAGGGCTTCCATAAGCAATAACGTCTGGTAGCCACTTAGTCGTCAAGTAGACAGGACCAGTCTCCATTCTGGTCTGGACTGACAATCCTATTGGTTCAGTCCATCCATCCATTTTTATCTGTTAGCTTTCATTCTAAAATATCTTCCTTAACTTGAACACTTATAATGAATAAAGCCATTTCAACTGCAAAGTCATCCTTTCAATCCAAAGTCACATACACCATAGAAATAGGCAGGAGCACAATTCTGTAATTTGGTCATGGGTTAAATTAGATAGATGATTAAAAACTATCTGCGTTGAGAGTTAAATTATTGCTATACTTAGTTTTGTATTGGCTTCCTGGACTTTCGTCTATACTTTTCAGATTCTATGGTGTGAACCAAGGACATTCTAATTGCAAAACATGCATTCTGTTAGGAATCCATGAACCTTTGTCGCAAACCATCTCCTCCACAAGATCTGGCAAGAGTAGAAAATCTGGACTGACTAAAATAACAGAAGCAAGTAAGAACACAATAGAGGAGGTATTAAATGCCCACAAAACTATTGATTTCCTCCACCATTGATGAATAAATTACATGGTGCATGGGTAGAACATTTGTATTTAAACGTTTGTTTGCTAACTGTATTTAGAAAGTACCTGTACAAAACCACACAGCATGAAATCATCAAACAATGGCAAGCTTGGACGGTCTTCACGAAAAATGATGATTTTGTAGATGCTCACGATCTCACTGACTGATTGAGACTTGTCTGTTACCACAATAATTACTATGTTTATACCTAATCCAAGTGGGTAATGTGCAGAGCTGTTAGAACAGAAGGAGAATGCAAAAACAGTAAACCTTTAGTGAAATAAGTAATCTGTTCATTTTATCATAGACTAAAATATTCGAAAAGTATTTTACAGCTGAAAAGGAGAGGATACATTCTTTGCAATGATACACATTATTATCTTTCTGTCGTGTTTCTGTTCTGATATTTCCAAATGTCTGATATTTCCAAATGTCAGAAAAAGCAAAGCATAGGAACTGCAGGAAGAGAAACGTATATCAGAACCATTCCCGAAGTCTTAGATAGTTCTGTTATATTGTTCTACTATAGAGTTGTGGTATCTGCATAGTTCTTTTACTTGTGTCTAGTTGAGTAGAAACTTCCAAACATTTGGAATCTGGACTTTATCAGGCTTTCAATTGCAGACTTCCTTGCTGAACATGGAGAAATTGAAATTTTTGTTTAGACAGAACTAGCATGGCTCTGTCCCTCTTAATCATATTCAACTATCTATTCAGACAAAATACAGATAGTCACTGACCTACAACAGTTTATCTAGTAACCGTTCAAAGTTACAGCAGCACTGAAAAAAGTGACTTATGACCATTTTTCACACTTTATGACCATTGCAACATCCCTATGGTCATGTGATTAAAATTCAGATGCTTGGCAACTGGTTCATATTTATGATGGTTGCAGTGTCCTGGAGTCACGTGGTCACCTTTTGCAACCTTCTGACAGGCAAAGTTAATGGGGAAACCAGGTTCACTTAACAATTATGTTACTAACTTATCAACTGCTGTGATTCCCTTAACAACTGTGGCAAGAAAAGTTGTAAAATGGGACAAAACTCACTTAACAAATATTTCACTTAGCAACATAAATTTTGGGATGAATTGTGGTTGTAACTCAAGGACTGCCTGTAGCTAAATAAAATTATAAACCCTCTCCTTCCTTATTGTTCCAGTGTGCTCATAAAGTTTGTATTGTGTAGTGAGCTTCAGTAGGCAAGAAGCAGACCAGCATAATACAACAACATTTATAGACTCTAAACTGGAACTGAGGAACAGCAGGCTTAGGCCTGTAATTTTGCACTCTGGGCCCACAGGGCCTTAACCAATCATAATACTTGAAAACCCTTCTTGAAAACCCAAATATGAATGTTCTAAGTTTCCATCCAAAACAGTTGGAGTTAACAGTTGGGGTCATCTAAAGGTTACTCTCACTTTAGCAGGGCAACACAACTATCTATCTATCTATCTATCTATCTATCTATCTATCTATCTATCTATCTATCTATCTTTGTTTTCTGAGATTCTCGTGGGTATTTGTATGTGGGACTTTGGTTATTCGGGTTTTCTCCCGCATAAAATTGGAAGTATCTAGGCAACGTTTCGATGAAGTCTCATTCATCATCTTCAGGCTTGTGTCTTCGGCTCTGTGCTCCCCTCTGAGAAGCGCAGAGCCGAAGACACAAGCCTGAAGATGATGAATGAGACTTCATCAAAATGTTGCCTAGATACTTCCAATTTTACGCAGGAGAAAACCCGAATAACCAAAGATAGATAGATAGATAGATAGATAGATAGATAGATAGATAGATAGA